TGGTCCTTCAAAATACGACCCAATGATATGTTGTGTTTGCTAACAAGGCCATTAAAACGAACATAGTCCGTTAGAAAATGCTGATTTTAAACGAGGGTGTTGAAATTCCTGTGTCATGGAGAAAAACTAACAGTTTTTCAATATACTTATTTATCTCTGAAATATGTAATTAATTTTAATAATTCAAAACAGTTAATTTTTCATTTTTCTTAAACAAAAAAATCAATTAAACATTAAATTATGTAATAATTAAATTTATTATAAAATATATTTCAAAAAAAATGAAAAATTAACTGTTTTGAATTATTAAAATTAATTACATATTTCAGATATAAATAAGTATATTGAAAAACTGTAAGTTTTAATTGTCGTGTACTTATTATATGAATTTCTAATTCAATAATTAGTAAACGACACCTGTAACATCAACATATTTGTCAGTAGCTTGTCTCGGTTTAATAATAGATAGTATTCAAAACATATCCGAAATTTCCAAAGAAAGTTCGGGTTTACCTGAATTGTTCTTATTGCGGTCCGTCAGTCTATCCGTCCTTCTGTAACATTTCCTCAAACTCCTTGTTGTGCAAAATGTGTTTTGTAATTTTTATTTTTCACCTGGGCCGATCGGGGGTCGAAAAAAAGATGATTTTCTGTTAAATTTCTTTTCAAATTTTATTATTACAGAGTAGCCAAATCAGCATTTTGGAATTTGATTGTTGGTGTCCTGTAGGTGTGCAATAAGGTTTCCGAATTTTTATTTTCCCCCTGAGGAGGATTGAGGGTGAAAAAATGATGTAGTTCTAGAAAAATCATGTTCTCAGAATTCGTATAACATTTTACACAGTAGCCCACTCATCCATTTGAGTATGATTGTACATGTGCAATAAGGTTTCAGAATGTTTATATTCATAAGGGGAAGGGGTCATTTGGTGGTCAAAAAGCGACATTTTTCCACGAAAACAACGTTCCCAGAACTCCTTTTACATATTACGCAATAGCCAAATCATCTATTAGAATATGACTGGTGGTGTCCTGTAGATGTGCAATAAGGTTTAGAAATTTTCATTATCATTCAGGGTGCCAATCGGATGCAAAAAACTCCTATTAAACAGAATTTTATGCTTCATTAAATTCTTTGATTTCTTTGAATTCTTAAATTGGTAATGGATTTACGTGAATTCTAATTTAAGAAGCAGAAAGGGCAACAAGATCATGCATCTGAGCATTTGATATATTTAATGGATATTGGTCTTCAATAAAAGCAGCATTCAACTTACTGTAGTCTATAGAGAATCGTGTGTTTCTATCTTTCTTTTTACTCAGGTATTATTCCAGCTGCCCAGGGACTCGTAAATAGCTATTTACACCTCTGTATGTTTGTTTATATACTCCCTCGCGTATGCGTGCAAGACTTTGTTTCTTGTGTATCTCCCATGATCTGCTGAGCTTGGCCCAGAATGGCAACTGCTGTGTCCTTGTGTAGAACCTTTACATCTGACATCAGGTTCATGTTCTTATGGTAATGTCTTTCTTCTACATTGGCAAGTACTTTGACTATTTATACTCAGATCTGATGAAAGCTTCATCTGGCTCAGATCAATTCCTTTGGGTGTTGTTTCCTCATCCTTTAGACCAGAAGTAATAATTTCACTTCGAGGTGGTAATCTCGGGATATTTATCACTGCAATCTCAAAGCAACCAACGTGCAACACCTTCTGAAATCAAGGGAACTTTTTTTTCGTCAGATCTCTGCTTGGCATCTCTATGACACACTTATCTTCAATCATGAAATCAAAGTCATGGTAAATTCTATATAGGTATATATGTATACAGACAGTTTTGATATAGCTATAGTGTTTTCATATGATCTACCGGTATTTTCGATGTAGAAATTCAAAACTGTCTTCCTACATACTTCTATAAATTCGCCATTTGCGGAGAGAATATCTCTAGTAAGCTTTATAAGCTCATCCTATTGACCTTTAATTTGGTTACATAGTTCTTTCAAAATCAGTGAGATAGTTGCGCCTGTGTCTAAACACATTTTTGCTGGAATACCATTGAATGAAACTTAGCAGAAATACCAGGATCGCAGATTCTGTTGTTTATATCAATACGAGCATTTTTTTTCTCTGGTTTCACTTTTTTCTCGCTTCTAAGAATTTGCAGAAACGAACTTTTTTGGAAGATTGTTGATACTCACTTGTCCTTGTTTGAGATTTGGCCCTTTGAGATAACTTTATTTGTCTCTTTTCCCTTCCGTCTGCTGTTATGACAGGTTGATCTTTCTTTCTTATCGTCCTGAAACTGAACTTTTGGGACTTGTTGGCTTTAGTAGGTCCTTCGTTAAGACTGGTTCTCTTTCAGGGATTTTATTTCATGTCTTTTATCATTCATTGCCATTCCCATGTTCTCAGAGAGTTTGGGGTACACATCTCATACCCGCATCTCCTCGTATGCCATTAAATAAAGAAGGTGGGCGAACGAAGGGAGCGAAATGCCTATAGTGCGACAAACATGAAGATGAAAAATTGAATCTCAATTATAACAAAATTTTCTTTGATATTTCATCTATCATTAAAGGTGCTTGGACACAGATTTGAAGTTAATATTTTCTCAAATTTTCTGTATAATTTCATGACTTATATTTTGCTATAGCATTTCATACTTAAATATAATAAAAATCTTATTTAATCTTGAAGTTATTAAAACTTCGAATTTCTGGACGCGTTGGATTGACACATCCTTGCGCTTTCACATATTTTAATTTTATTCTTAATACTTATGAAAAGTGGCAATTTTGTTGTGTATTAATAAAAAATATTAAAACTATAACCCAGAAAATTCAGAGTAGAAATGTTCTAAGGCAAAAACCACTCACAGTATTGTAAGTCCGTGCTCAGTGGTGTGTGCAGAGTTTAACAATTGAACACACCCGGTGAATCGTAAACATTAACAATAACAGAGCTCGTGCCCTGTTTACAAAAACAGTTTACGTTTCACGGGTGTGTTCAATTTGTTAAACTCTGTACACATCATAGAGGGCGGACTGACAATACTGGTGAGTTGGTTTTGCTTTCGAACAATAATTTCCAGATAAAATAAGTTTTTAATTATATTTTTGTGTGAAATGCTATTGCAATATATAAGTCGTGATATTATACAGAAAATTTGAGAAAATATTAACTTCAAATCTGTGTCCAAGCACCTTTAAAGTATACTTTATGAAAAATCTCCACAATTTCCAAAAATCTCAAAAAGATTTAAATTATTTGCCTATGAAATAGCATACACACACTAAAGAGGGCAAAAAGGATCATTTTCTCATATTATAACACAATCTCTCGATATGAGTGGGTCTTTGCTCCATTTTTTTTTTTTTTTTTTTTTTTTTTTTTAAAGTTTATTCTCAAAGCTTGCCTAAAAATTTACATTTTTTGATTAAAAAAATAACATGGAGCAAAGACCCACTATACCCTAAAAATACACTTTAATGCCAGCGAGAACTACATTATTTTTTAATAACAGAAAAAAATTGCCCAGAAATTTTCCTCAGAAAAGTGTTGTTTATCATAATTTCACGTATTTCAATAATATTGAAGTTACTCTAAAGTTACTCTGAATTTAGTATTTAGAGTCTAAATACTAAATTCACAAATTGAATATGATTTTTATATATCTGAAGCTATAGGCATTCTGCACGCCTTGTTCACCCATCTCTTAATGATACTTTCACAAAATCTTTGTGACATAGTGCCATTGTGCACCTCCTATTTCACTTTTTGATCGGACACATAGTAGTATTTTGGATTTCCTATAGCAAAACATGGACTTTGCCCTTATAAGCATATGGGAGACGGGGGGTATCATTTTGTGAGCTCAGTGCTCACAGTACCTCTAGTTTTTAATAGTTACAATTTACACATTGTGTAAGCATATTTTACAATTAAATTGACTATTCGCAAGTACACGAATTACCCGTGAGCATTGACAAAATGGTTACATTTAAAATACTGAACTTTTCATTTCCGACATTTTTTAGTTTTCATTTCTGACATTTTAAAATTTCATCTCCGACATTTATCATAATTTATAGTACTTTTCTGGCAATGAAAACAGAATTGAAACTTCCCTTAATAAAATTTTTTAAAGAATAAATCCAGAACAATTCATTGATATGCAAAAAATAAGTCCTGCTTAGCTTTTAAAGAAGCTTGTGATGATTTTATCCAGGGGCACGTGTAAGCCTTCTAAATTTTTAATCACCTCGTTTTCAATCAAGATATTCAGTTTAAGTTTGAGATTAGATAAGTTAAGATGGAATTTATAAGACGTATAAGAAACTATATAGTCGAGGGAGGAAAGCAATCATCGTTGAGGGAATTCTGTTTTTCGGTGTGCACAGTCACAAAAATATAATTCAGTGGACATTAAATTTGGTGAACAAAAATTGCATGCTCATTTTACTCATGCAAAACGTTTTACTACACTTATAGCTGCAATAATGTAGCCCTCTCCGATTTTTTTTAATCTGATATTTTCAGGAGAGCCCCCCTCCCCCCCCCCCCCCCCCAAAAAAAAAAAATCGGAGAGGGCTACATTATTGCTAGACTTAATGCTGCATGTATTGTAATGTTTTTAATCGGAAAATGAGGCTTGAAATAAATGTAATATTCATATCCTGTTAAAATTCTATTTCTACCTGCTTGGTGGATTGCCAGAAAGGAACCCTCTAAAAATTCCAGAAATGTATATAAAAAAAAAAATAGATATCGGAAATGAAAATAAAAACTGATTCGGAAATAAAAACAAGAAATGTCGGAAATGCAATCCAAAATTCCGGAAGTTCTTTATTGTTATATGTATTTATAAATTAATGCATGTTGCATTTAAACAAAACATTAGAAAAGCTCACTTGAGCCTTCGGCTCAGGTGAGCTAAAAAAAAACTTGTAAATTTTGTCGGGTTCGGGATACAAAACCTTTTGGTTGTACCATCAACACAAAATTGAAAATAATGAGTTTTGTTCCGTCAGGCGTTAGTGTTGTTATAATAACAACTTTGCATCCGCTGGGTTATGCAAAAGTCTTAATACAGGTTGTTTCCTTTATTTTGATCATTGTTATTATGGGAAAATGCAAGAAGAAGTTCATATGCTTGATATTGTGAAATGAAAGTAGAAATTTGTGTCATATTCATTTCGAATTTTCTCAGTTTTTAAACTCTAAAGGTCATTTTTCATGTTTCACTTTGTTTAAACTTACTTGTGATAGTCATATATGTCAAGTACTATTTGTGCTCCTTTGCTTATTTTAGTTTTTATTCCTTCCATTAGCATGATCAGTGATAGTAAATGTGCTTTGTGATTCTTCTTACTTGTGATGGTCATACTTGTGCATTACAATTTATGCTGCTTTTTTTTTTATTTCATTCTCTTTTTTTGTTGTTGTTGTAATTGCTAGTATATGTGCTTATTTCCTATGGTTCAATCAAATTATGCTTTTTTTACTAACTATGTATATTTTTACCAAGTTTTATCTTTGTGTAAATTTGTTAAAGTCGGTTAACGAGCTATCACAGCTCATGTTATTCTGTTATACTGTATATACATGCCGACTATAAATAAAATTTACTTGACTTGAAATTTATTTGAAACATTTAATTTTCTTTTTTCAGTTAGGGAACGAACCAGTGCCTCCGTATCTCGCAAAGTCTCCATTCTGGCGGAAACCACAATATTACTATCCAAATGTCTTTCAATATAGTAGGTGCTCTTTATTATAAATTTATTTCTTGTTGAACCCAACTTTCCAGAAGGAAGATAAGAGATTCTTGATTATAAACTTCTTATCATCTGAATTAGTTCAGAACTGGGCTTATTCCAGTATCTCCAATTGCACTGAATGATATAAAGATGTAATTGATTGGGAAATCACACTTTCATGAAAACTTGTTAATCATATTTTGGTATATTAGGGTGGTGTGTGTGTTGGGGGGGGGGGGGGGTATGCAGAGATGTACATTATCCTTGCTTTAGGTGCCTGTGATAATAATTGCTTGAAAACTTTATGATGATAAATATGAAAAATATAAAGATTTAAATATTGAAAACAAATTTTGTTTGATTTAGTACGTCACATTAAAAGAAAAGATGGATTTTTGGGATTGTACAGAGGGCTTGTACCAAGAATTCTGGAAGGAATTGTCGGAAGTTATGTTACACAGAGTGTGACTGAGGTAAGAATTCTGGAGGGAATTGTTGAGAGTTATGTTACACAAAGTGTGACTGAGGTTAAAATTCTGGAGGGAATCATTGGGAGTTATGTTACACAGAGTGTTACTGAGGTAAGAATTTGGGAGGGAATCATTGGGAGTTATGTTACACAGAGTGTTACTGAGGTAAGAATTCAGGAGGGAATCATTGGGAGTTATGTTACACAGAGTTGGACTGAGGTAAGAATTTTGGAGGGAATCATTGGGAGTTATGTTACACAGAGTGAGACCGCATGAGGTAAGAATTCTGGAGGGAATTGTCGGGAGTTATGTCACACAGTGTGTGACTGAGTTAAGTATTCTAGGGGGAATTGTTTGGATCGAGTTATATTATACAGTGTGTGACTGAAGTAAGAAATCTACAGGGAATTATCGGGAGTTATGCATACATCTTAGTCTTGTCTTTTATGAAGTCAATGAACTGAAACAGCTTTGGTGAAGGCATTGCAGATTCAACTTTTCTAAAGAGAATAGATGAAGAGCACAAGGAACTAAGGAACTATAGTTAAAAAAAACAAGATGTGTTTGTGAAACACTGATGCCCTGTATGGCAAAATTATAGCAAAGGTTAAACTTTCTCAAATGCAAATCAAATATGTTGGTTCCCAAAGTAAGGTCTTGTTTCGAGGAATAAACTTGTGAATTATAAAAGCCCTAGCAGCAACCATTGAATAGATATGGAAAAGATTAAAGTTTTTCAAAAGTAAGTCAAACATCAAGGTCATGGTCAAATGGTCTAAATTAATGATGCCCAAGGAAAGGCCTTCTCACAAGAAATACACGTGAAATATGAAAGCTGTAGTACCAATTGTTCAAAAATTATGGCCAAGGTTAAAGTTTTTCAAAAGTAGGTCAAATTCCAAGGTCAAGGTCAATGGATTATAATTGTTGGTATCCAAAGGAAGGTCTTGTCACAAGGAATAGACATGTTAAATATGAAAGCCCTATAAGCACCAACTGTTCAAAAGTTATGGCCAAGGGTAAAGTTTTCCAAAAGTAGATCAAACTCCAAGGTCAAAGGGTCAAAGTTGTTGGTATCCAAATGAAGGTCTTGTCACAAGGATTAAACATGAGAAGTATGAAAGCTATAGCACCAATTTTTCAAAAGTTATGGCCAAAGTTAAAGTTTTGTAAAATTTTGCAAAATTTGGTCAAACGTCAAGGTCAAAAGGTCAAATATGATGGTACCCAAAGAAAGGTCTTGCAACAAGGAATACACATGTAAAATATGAAAGCCATAGCTCGAAGCAATCAAAGGTTATTGAGGCAATGTTAAAGTTTTTATGGACAGACAGACAGCTACACAGATGGACAGACAGGGCAAAAACTATTTACCCCCGAATCTTCTATATGGGGGCATAAAAATAACAGCTTATATTTGGAAGCTCCACAAGTCCAAAGGTGCTTGCCACATACTACACAGAAATTATATTTTTATTTGTGTTGTTTCAATTCCATAAGCATGGAAATTTTACTAGCTAAGTTCACTTTACGCATCAAATGGCCTTGAAGATAAACAGCTTTATTGACTAACACCCTATGTCCCATTTCAAACATCAATAAAATGTATAGAGACTTATTTGCTTTTATTTCCTGTAACAAAGTTTCTTCTTATAGTCCAGATATTGGAGAAAAAAAGACTTTGTGAAATTGCAGTGTTCTTCAATTTTATGGAAACAGGTGTATTTGAGTACTTTCAGCAAAGAATTAAAATTTGAGTGCCCTCCTAGATCCAATAAGATTAAACATGTTCTTTAATCTTCAGAAACAGTTATATCATTATATAATTGCACATTTTAGATTAGAGGTTGTGTTCCATACTAAATATTGAAATTTTTTTTTAACTTTTGGACATTTTTAAAGAAATTTTCAGGATATGGGAATAATGACACAATTCATGATGTCATATTGCATTGACTAGCCAGAAAATAATGTAAATTTTAATAGATATGCAGGCACCAAGGGTCCAAATGAAATTTAATGTATTGTCAACTAAAACTAAGCAGTTTTGATTTTTCAGAAAATTCATCCTAGGTGAATTTTGTTCTTAAACATGTTATTTTTCAAAACTATCATAGGTAATAGATTATGAGTATATTTTTTAATTATGATGCCTCAAGTACATTGTGTAGCATTTTAAATGGGAAGCTATTCATGAATTGAGATTTGGACAGATTTTACAATTGTAAAAATTATTTATGGCATATAAATTTCTTCAAGTGGATAAAAACTTTTGCTATGGAGGGTATATATTAATTCTATGACTCCCCACAGTGTCTGGTACTATATTTTCCATTTAATAAGTATATGAAGAAGAAGTATTTGTTAGCTATGGAGGGTATATATTAATTCTGTAGCTATAATATGTAGTTGGTACTGTATTTTCCATTTAAGTACTTGAAGAAGAAGTAACCTTTAGCTATTGTATATACATGTATATACCCTCAGTCTCACAGACTGTTATTGTAGATAGTACCATATTTTCTATTTAAGTACGTGAAGAAGAAGTATCCAATCGATGAAAATGAAGAAGGACCAGAAGTTGTTATATTTTTCAAACACTTTGCTCTGCAGGTAAGTATTGCAGATTTGCTGATCAGGTATACTTACTTCATTAACACTTTTTAGGGACCCAGGTTTAGGGTTCCTCCTACAATGTACATTTGAAAGAAATTTTTAATCTGGAAATTTTCAAGTTTCTAATACATGTAGAAATATTTTACATACACATGCATTAAAAATTTTAAGATATTAAATAATGATTTAGCCCAATTCATTGGAAATATGCTAAACATCCTAATTGTTTTGATAATTAATTGTGAAAATTAAAACCTGAGGCTCATTCATCCATTCTGTCAGTGCTTATTTTATGTCTTTATCAGAGACTTCATTGGTAAAGACTGGTTGGACATAATAACATGTCTATGCACTTTAGAAAATTTTCTGAATTTCTGCTTTGGAATTAAAGTTCCTCATTTTGAGTTTTTACATTTTTATTAAAAAACAATGAATATGTTGCATTAAAAAACTTTTTTTAAGTATTTGTTTCTAAAGGCTCTAAAGACTTTGTTCAAAAGAACATTTTTTTCTTTTTTGTCATATGGTATTTTTTTTTTTTTTTGACAGTCTTCTCAAGAAGTGGCTGCTAAAACTCTTGCAATTATTGCCAGCCAACCACTACAAGGTGTGTTGTTTTGTATCATTTGTTTTATAGCTGTAATTTCATTACTCTGTGTCAGATACTGTGATATTAAGACATCAGTTTTAAAAAATTCTTTGAATATTAATTATTTTGCAAATATACTATATACTGAAGTTACATGTATTTACTTTTGTCTTTAATTATTTTAATTAAGTCATCAATATTAAGGTCACAAATGTCAAAAACACAGTATTTTGATAATACTTTGGCATTTGTTATAAAAAATATATTTTAAATACCGGTTATCTTTTTCATTACATTTTCATCAGAGGAAAACTTCAAATTTATATGTTGAATAAAATAAATATTTTCATGCTGTAAAAATAACAACCTGAACATGAGATGTCAGATGCCCTGTACCATGTAATGTATTACAAGTTTAGAATACCATAAAAAAAATGTAATAAATAGAAAATTCAATGTTTTGTAGTTGGCTATTGAATAAATTTTACAGGTGAGATAGCATTTGTTTTTATATTTTCATGACTGCTCAGCACTCGTGAAAATATTAAAAGAAAAAAATCCTGTCCCACTTATAATGATATATTCCATATCAAACTAAAAAAACATTTAATATATCCTCTTCTTATTTCTAAATTCTAAACTTTATCATTATCTGTTCACCAAAATTCCTTTTCAGTGATTGCCCTTAGGACTATGGCACAGTTTGTGGGACAGGAGACTTTATACAGGTGATTAGAAATACATGTACTAGTAAAACATTTGTAGATGGTCAAGATCACATGTTTTCTTTACTACATTATTAAATGTTAGAAAATAAGATAATAATTATTATTTAAAATGATCTTAAATAGATTGGAATGTTTATTTGCATATTCAATTGAAATCTGTTTAAAAAGATTTAAGGTATTTGATGTGCTTGATTTAACATAGGATTTAAGTATATAGAATATACATGTACATGCAACACTTTTTTTCCCTTGTTTTTCAGAAATATATTTGTTTCTGTGATGGAAATTTATGAGAATGAAGGAATTCTAGGATTTTATGCGTAAGTTATATGCACTGAATATACTAACTAAAAGTATTATAAATATTATTTCAATATCCTGTAGTAAGCTTAATGTGACAGTAAAATAAATCTACCCTATATTGCTTATTTTGTCACTTAATACAATACAGTGAACACGCTTATTATGAAGTGCCAGCTAGGGATGGACGATTTTGCTTTGTTGTAAGTGTAATTCATTATATTCGTTAAGTTTACAGTATATTTTAAATCACTGGGAATGAAAATTACTTCGCTAAGGCCATAAAAAATTAATTAATAGTTTCTCAGGCCAAAAATTTCAAAATTCAATGCGGCAGGCAGGTTCTTTTTTTTTGGGGGGGGGGGGGGGGGAGCAGGTATTATACCTATTTTTTCATGTCAGTCATTCAACAAAATGATGATATCAACTGGTTCTTACTTTTTTTGTTCTCTTACGTTAATTATAATATGTATTCAACTTTAAATAATGTTATTCCAAACAAAGTTAATTCATAAAATACCGTATTAACAAGAAATGTATTGTTTATCTAATAAAAACGTCTATTAGCTTTTATGAAAAGGGCATTAACTCAATTTTCTTTTTCAACTTGGAAAAATTGAAAATTGAGTTATTTCCTTTTTCAATATATCAATAAAATTGATCAATGTGGCAGTGTTTGACCTGATGCGGCGGTGCCTGCGAAACTATCGATTAATTTTTTTTGTCCTAAGCATCAATTCATTATAAGCGTGTTTTACTGTATAATATATAATACAGTTTATTCAGTCAATATGACCTTAGGCAATACTGCCCATCAGTTTGATATACAGACAACATTTTTAATAAGCTTAAACTAATAATAGTAAAATAATGTTAATTATACTTGTCCTGACAATGCAATAAGAATGTACATGTAATATGAAACTTGAAAAGTTCCACAAAAACTATAATGATACACACATAGGCATTAAATATATGTAATGTAGTGTTTAAATTATACTTTCATGTAAAATACTCCATTCTTATTGGTTTTCCTCTGATGACAATTTCTACTTCTTGCAGTCTTTATACATGTATTTTTAATCACACAATATGTTATGAAAATCACATGATAGCAATATATGGGTGGATTCTGATGTTCATTAAAAACAAAGTGAATATCTAGTATACATGTATGATTTGAAGTCCAGAATACATGGTATAAAATAAATAAGTTTTATTACTGGACTATTACCAACTGATATGTGAAGTAGTAGTCTGAAAAATGCTTGTTAATGAAAAGATGGGACTAATGCAAAGAGCAAACTTAACCTAAATTCTTTTCTTTTCAGTGGCATTATTCCACGACTGATAGGGGATGCCCTAGCCATTGTGCTAATCAACTTGATTTCTGATTTTGTCAACAGATATTTCATAACAGAAAAGGTCAGGGATTTATTTATTTGTGATTCAATGTCAGTAATATATTTCCTGACAGTCAGAGAGGAATAAAAAAAAATAATTGAGAAGTATTTATATTTGTCAATTGACTTATGACTGGCTATTGTGTTGGTGTATTTTGCCATATTATGTATTTTTGTTTTTGACTAACTTACATACTATTTCCCTTCCAGGAATACAAAGCCTACACAGCAGCTGTCAGTAGTGTAAGTGTGACTGCTGATCCCAAGTCATGAAATTAACTTTTATTTCATGACTTGTTATGAAAACACAGAGTCTCAGATTTCAAATAGCATATTTCATTTAATATAAAGCATGTGATTTAGTGTCTAAATACATTGTATCAAACATTTGCTAAATGCTTTAGATACTTTTTTCTTATACTTGAATTAATAGCTTAAGTGTTGAAAAGTCACATTGGCTACAGGGACAGAGCATTTGTTACTGAACTTAATCACTGAAAATGGCAAATATTTTCAGCCTTGATACTGTTATCAATCAGATTTGTTTATTATCTTACAGCTTTACTAACATAAATAAAGTAAGATTTGCTTTATGTGTCAGGTTTCAATGTTTCTATTTTTAGCTTTTTGTGACCCAGTTTACATATCCATTTGAACTTGTGTCCAGGAACATGAGTGTTAAACCAGCAAGGTGAAATACTCTTAATTTTAAATGTAGGAATTATCTTAATATTCTACATCAAAGATATTATTTTTTATTCCTAAAATAACTTAAGTCTTGTAATATAATACAGTCAAATTTCATTATCTCAAACTTGATAGGACCGAGAAAACACTGAGAAATTATATCTGAGGATTCAAGATATCAAGGGTAAAATACTTAATGAATAAGTGGTTGGGACTTCCAAGTCAGTTTAACATATCCATGGTATTTGAGATATCAGTGTTCGAGTTAAAAAAGTTCAACTGTAATTATATTGGGTTTTTTTTTTAAAGAAATTTGGTGACTTTTCCTCTTTATTTTTATTTTTAATTTTGCAATTGTGCATACAGTGTATATAATATTTAACAGGATATCATTTCTATGGGCTTTTTTTCTTTTGCAAGTGTTTAGAATGTCATTGTGAGAGACTCGCATCAGTGTGAGTTTTATTTGGTACTTATATTCTTACCACTGTACTGTGGTCTCTCCTTGCACAGGTTACTGGCAGCTCAGAATATGCCTGACTACACAGACTGGTTAGATTGTTGGAGAATGCTGAAACAAAATGTAAGTTATTGTGTGGCCTGCTTCTTAGGTATCCCACAAAGAATATAAGCCAAAAGTATTGATAATCCATAAGCAGGTCTGGTCTGTGGATTATCTGTTTGTCAGAAATGGATGCTGCTTGGAAAAATAGCATTGTAATACATTACATCTTTTCAAATACAGTCAAACCTCATTATCTTGAACTCGATGGAACCAAGAAAACCTTCGAGATATCCGATCATTCAAGATATCAAGTGTAAAATACTTAAAAAACAGGAAGTCTGTGAGCGAACGCTCACTAGTAATACCCCCGCTCTGATGTGAGTATACATTCTCACGTTGACATTGAATTCATACAAAAATGAATCCCACCATTTGACATTCCTAAATAAAGATTGTGCTAAAATTTCAACCATGTGCGCTGAGTAGTTGCAGAGAAAACTGCGACAGAAATTTGGTAAGGACAGACACAGGGATAAACAGGAAGTTGACATCAGATTTGAACAAAAATAAATCCCACCACATGGCATATCTAAACAAAGTTCAAGCTTCTGCGCTGAGTAGTTGCAGAGAAAACTGCGACGGAAATTTGGTATGGACAGATGCACGGATAAACAGGAAGTTGATATCGGATTCAAACAGAAATGAATCCCTATATATGGCATGCCCAAACAAGGATTATGCTACAATTTCAAGCATCTGCGCTGAGTAGCTGCTGAGAAAACTGTGATGAAAATGTGGTACGGACAGACGCACGGATAAACAGGAAATTGACATCAGGTTCAAACAAAAATGAATCCTACCATATGGCATGCCTAAACAAAGAGTGTGCTAAAATTTCAATTATCTATGGTGAGTAGTTGCTGAGAAAACTGCGACAAAAATTTGTTACGAACAGACTCACAGACAGACACACAAGGGTAAAACAATATACCCCGCTTTCCTTCAGAGCGGGGGTATAATAAGTGGTTGGGACCAAATCACTTCGACATATCCATGGTATTCGATATATCAGTGTTTGAGATACCAAAGTTCAACTGTATATTGTACATGTATTTCAAATTTATTCACATACATACATGTACTTTTCAAGTACGTAGTACATTGTATTTCTGTTTGAATGGAATCATAAAAGTTTAATATGCAAAATTAAAATTCTCCTTTCAAGTAGGGTTGTAAAAAATTCCAAGCCTTAAAAATTACTTGTTTTACAGAAAATTAAGTAAATTACCTGTAAATTTGAATAAAAAATATCTGTTGATGTGTGACTATAAATGTGTATGGATATTTAAACAGTAAAAAATTTGAACCGCCAGTGTTGGTGAACAAAGAATAGTTTTATAATTTGATTGATTATTGTGATTTCAGGGTGACTTGCATCGTGGATCAAAGATGTTTCTGCGGGCTGCAAAGAAGGCAACATTAGAGTGATAAATTTGTGATAGTGAGGCATCATCAGGATACGTTTTACTTCCTGTAGACAAAATCTGATTGGGCTTGGCTGAGTGTGAATGAGCATCAACAATTTGTTGAGCAACTTTTTATGTCAATATTTTTATTTTTAATTTGCTTGTTCATTATGGATATGTGGTATTATAATTTTATAAGTTGTCTGATATACAATACAAACTTTTTTTCCTGATCAGTAGAAATGTTTATCACGACTTTCTTACATTTTATTCTGTACTATAAGGAAGGTTTTAAATATTAAACGTTTTAATTGTCTTAATGAATAGGTTTTAAGATTGTTAATCTTTTTGTCATTTACATTATTTTACTTAGTACCATTTCTATTTATATTGCATTCACATGTACCCGCCTACTTACTTACATTTTAAAGATTGACAAGCATATAGAAAACAGATGAACTTGAAAAGAAAGTTTACGCAAACGTCTGGTTTTGTTGAGTTTACCATTTGTAAAGTCAAATTTCATATTTTCTCTAGAAATCATAATAGGCCAAATTGAACCAAAACCTGCCAGCAAAACATCCTCAGATGAAGGGGATTCAAGTTTTGTTCAAACACAAAACCTTTGTCCCAAAAGGGAGATAATGAAGAGTAGTAATATTATTTGAAAATCTTCATAAGAACACATTAATGGCCCTTCAAAGAAAACTTGCATTGTATTGTTCAGGTTTGTTCAACTTCATATGGCTCCAAACATTATGGTGGGGCCATATTGGGTTCCAATATTTTTAATGGAAACAAGGAAATATGAGAAATCTGATGAAAAATGTTACTATATATTATTAGTATTCTCCCCATGTAAATTCATATTTTTTTCAAAACAAGACTCTGAGGCTATGGTGGGGCCACAGTAAGGAATCAAGGTTTTAATCTTGGAATAGGAAAAAATGTACTGCATGTGCTTTTATTAGTAGGAACAAGCTCCAATTTGAAATTTAGGTGGGCTTTGTGGCCCCTGACATGGTCCTCCTGTAATTTGTGGGGTGGATAGTGTATTTATAACATTGTCGTAGATTTATTTAAAGTGAGCATTCTGAATGACTAGGTAGATATAAAAATTTTAGTGGCAGGGAAATGTTGTGCCTTTCACAATAAAGATATTTACAAAAGTTTGATTTTAAATTATTTTTTCACCGTTAGAATGGTAGTGTTTACACAGTAGATTCTTAGCTTTAGACAGAATATGAAACAAATTAACTTGATGTGATATGTTTGCATAACCAGAAATCTTGGACAAGACATATTTACTCATACATGTGCTATGAAGATCAGTTGTGGTTCTTCTGGAGGGACTTTGGCATGATAGTGTACTGAGTTTACACCATCAATGTACAAATTTTTCGGATTGTCGGATTATTTATCTTAACATATGTACATTTAATTACAACAGCTGGATAATCAGTGTTTTGCTCATATTTTAAAAGTTGATCTTGCTGCAATCATGGCTGTCTTGCAGGCAGATTTATTTACCAAGGTCATGCAGCTGAGTCGGTATAGCATATAAACCCAGTTTCAAATTCAGATCTGCCACTTCATCTATCTTCATGTTAGTGTCATTGCAGTCTAATGGAGTTGACTGTCATGAAAACTTTCCAAGGTGAGCTGGGGATGTTGTCCTTGATGGCAAAAGCATTTAAAATGATATGGTCTGTAACTCTTCATATCTTTCAATATAAAAAAAAAATATTCTTGGCAAAAAATATCCTTTTCTTTGTTTTGCAATATTGATTATGAAAATTAAGCCTTGTATCTCACAAGGGAAAAGGCATTAATGCAATTTGGCTGGAAAACATTGGCTTTGTATGGAAGTAAAACAATACATGGGACTGTGCACAAAAATACATTCAGGTGTGACTAGGATTATAAATAGGTGTCACGTGAAACAAAAATGTGGCTGGCAATTATTATTGACTGATTAACTTATTCATAAAAATGGTGTTGATTGGATATTTCAAGTCTTAATTTCAATAATAAAGTTTGGAAAGTTTTGTATATCAATTTATATCCATACATATAATACTATATAAATTATATACCTGGTACTATAGTATATAGGTCCCTGCCTCACGTTGAAATGGGTGGAAAAAAAATTAACAACCCTTAAGTTAAACCATTTTTTTTAACTGAAGCCATTTAGGGTTAGAGGGGAAAACATTTTAGCTCACCTGATTTGAAAGCTTCTTCAGAACCATGAGAGGGCCATGATTTCAACCAAACTTGCCACAAAGCATCCTTGGGTAAAAAGGGATTCATGTTTGTTGAATTGAAGAGCTACCTTTTCTTTTAAAGAGAAATAATAAAATATTCACAAAACGCCCAAATTCAGTTGTGTTGCAGACTTTGAAAAAACGACCACTAGATTTCATTCCTAATAATGAAGAAAACATTTTCTGTGTGTAATCTCAGTTGAAAAGAATATTTGGATGAAAGATATTGATAAACATTGATCGAAATTCTACCCTGCATACAATATAATACAAATCAGATTTAACATAAATCACTGCATCGATCCTCACAGTGTCAAGGTTTTGTGATTTCGGAACTGAGCACAAAACCTTGACATAATGTGAGGATGAAATCACTGTAACATTCAAAAAAAAAAAAAGATAATTATTTAGTCCTAGAAAACAATTCATAGCATTCTGAAATCGTGAAAAATTAAATAATTGGCATCATTGATAACTTTGAATTATTTGCATGTATTAAAGGAAGACAGATGTGATAACGTAGGTCACCAAAAAAAAAAATAAATAAATAAAATTTTAAATTCTGTAGACTATGCTGGATTTTAATTTTCTAATTTGTTGTATTTGAAGAAGACACTCTGAACATACATATTTTTCTTCCAAAAGAATGTATTTTCAACAAAAAATTATATGATATTAACATTAAGGAAAGCATCAGAGGTTAAAGAGTTTCATATGGCAATAAAATTTTTTAACACATTTGTGCCAGTAAGATGTATTACAAATTTTCATTTCATTAACTAGTACTACTCCGGTAACTGCTTTTTAATGCAGTATTTTTCATATTTATTTCTGCAATATAAATTGATGAAATATATTGGCTAAGATTAAAATTTGTACAACAAAGATACAATTTTCCATTCATGCTGTCAGTTTGTGACACGAGTTTTCTGAGCATTTCTTGATACTTTTTTATTCAAAATCCATCACACAGCTGTTACAATGATATATTCCAGAGCGATTTAAAATCAAACAATTTAATTTGTTCTCTTTTTTTGTGACAAGAAAATTTAAGATTGACTCAACATAACTAAAATTGGGTGGAAAATTTGGTGGAATCTTTTAAAAATATCTAATGAACCACTAAGCCTGAAAAAATTAAACTTATATATAACCGGCTATTTATGTTCTGTTTCGCAACTGTTTGGTTTTGTGTTTTATATTTAAAGAAATTTAGCGCCATCTAGCAGAAAACTTTACAACCGGAACTAGCGAAGTCAATAATATTTACTACTCTGCATTTTTTTTCATGCGAAGTGGGTTACAAGATTTGAAGGTGAGATTTGTGTTAATATATCGTGAAGTTCAAAGAATGTATATTTTTGCATTTGTAGTGATGCACTGGAATCAAATAAAGTCGTTCTCATAAAACTGATGAAACGATATGTGGTGTGGCATGGCCGGGTGCATACATGATACAGAAAATTGCCAAATATGCCTACTTTAATACATTTTATGAATAAGTTTTATGTGTTAAGGGCATAACTTTTTTCATTTAATATTATTTGTAAGAAGTAGTTTGAAACACAACCTAAATTTTGACTGCATGGACAACAAATTGATCAGCTCATTCTTAAATGTTGTTTTCACATTTCTTGTGTTAAGATCGAACCCTCCCTAAACTGCACACTATAGACTGTAGGGCTAGGACGATGTATCGAGATATCGATAATATCGATTTTGTGAGGACGATACACATCGATACGTATGTAGAAATCTCGTAATAGCACAAAAAAGTACTAATTATGTTTCTTTGTTTACTTAACATGCTTAACATTTTGGGTTTAATATATAAAATAAATATGATAAATATAAATATGAAACACATGATAATTAACACCACTATGTAGAATAACTTTGTTTTACAACAGATATACAGCCTCTTTGAATAAATTAATTTATTCTTATCTGTGAAGAAATGTTTTGTTCATTTCAACATGTTCAATACAAAAAGAAGATTTATAACCAATTTCAAATATTGTGATACATATTGAATCTTGGCTTAAATATTGTGATACATATCGATATAGACAAAGTTGTATCATCCCAGCCCTACTAAAGAGTAGTTAAGATAATCTGTGTCTCATGAGAAATATATGCTTTTTTTGCCGTAGAACACATTCAACCTTGTCAGATGCCGGTCACCCAGAGTCCATTCATTCATATTCGCCCAAGGTCTTTTGGTCCTAATTTTATGTTGATTGACTTATGTAGATCATGATTTACAAAGATTGTATTGAATTTTGTATCTTTCTGTATGAAATAAAATTCATTACATTCATACGTTAAGTATGGATGAAAAAATTGCATGCAGAAATTCATAAATAAATGAAAATCTGCAGAGTATTACATGTACTCAATTTGCAATCAATCCAAGCATTTTTAACATTTCAATAGGCCAAGATAAATTAATTGAATACTTTATTAGCATGTATTTTCCCCACACAAACATAAAACAACAGCGATTTCTGTTCATTGATACTTTATTGTCTTTGAACATTTTTCCTCAGGTTAAATGTCAGGTACCCTTTGTTGAAAATTGAATAGGGTATGCTCAGTATTTACTCCTTTAAAAAATATGATTTTCTCAATGTCTGAATAACATTTTACTTTAGTGTATAAAGGGTCCTTACAGAAGGGGGGAGTCAGCTGCAACATCAGAGACATAAAAGAGATTTGTAATTTTTCAAAATTGATTTCTCACCGACCCTATTGTTTACATTTTTTTAAATTCACTCTTTGTAAATCACATAAATCTTTTAAAATTATCAAGGATAACAAAGTAGAATTATTTTATTCATATCAAAAATTTATTCAGAATGCTATATTTTTTGTAATTAATACAATAAAATGGTAGAAATCTGAAATAGCAACAGGTGACCTGTGTTCGGCCATATCTACAATATCATTGACCTCTTTGATTTGCCTAGGTTGCTTTTAATAATCAAAACTTTATCCTTCATACACTCTTGTAGTAAAAGAAATATATATTACATTAACTTTAGAACAAAGTACACAAGCAATGATGAGTAATTTTTTGGACTGTCAAATATTTTAGTTAATAGAGGGTATACCCATTAATGGTGGAGTTGCAAATCTCTCCTATTTATGTTTTTGGCAGAAAGCAACCTCAAATGATTCACAGAATATCAATAGCAGCACCCTTCATTAAGCCAAATTTTACAGATTTAAAAAAAAAAGTAGGTAAAAATTATCTTTCTAAGGGTTTATTTTAGACCAACTAGATACTTAAAAAAGTAGAACAATTAATTACTTGCCCTCAACTTAAAAATAGAGCTATAATGTGCACAAAATTGGCATGCAAATATTGTTATATTTTTTACAGTTTCTGAGTGAATAGATTCAGAGTATCTCAATAGAGCACCTCACATACTGTTTTATATCCCAGTTCATAGCCTCAGCCAAGTCAGTATTCCTTTATTTGTTTGGGGTTCTAACTTACAAGTTATCAATATTCTTTTCCTTTTTAATCAGGTACAGACAGTAAATGAAAAGGATGGATTCTCTATAATGAAGAGATCTCATGTTCCACCCGCATTAACACATCTAGTGGAAAACAACAGCTCTGAATCCCAGCAACAGACATCAACCCCAGGACAGTCAGGACTGCATATATCTGAAATAGAGCCATCTCAACTGATTCAAAATTCAAATGTAGAACAGAGTTCATCTTCTTCTCCACATCAACAACCAGAGGCAACAGCAGGGCCCAGTGGTGTGGTGGGAAGGGCAGAGAAAAGGAAGCATGAGGATTCAGAGGCAGAATCCTCACATGGACATAAAAAGCGTATAACAGGGATATCCCAAGACTTACCTAATCCAGTTTTGATTAACAGGAAACCTGTTTCTCAAAACAATGGTGGAAGAGTTGAAGCTGATGCCAAGGTGCCTCAGTTACAAAAATCTGTGGCATCTACCTCAAAAAACCCATTTGTTTTTAGTTCCCATGTTGTAGTACCAGAAACAAGGAAGGCAAAGAAATCCGTCCAGGGTTTTGGTCCCCAAGCAGCTCAAACAGCAGTTCAGCATGAAGCTAAAAAGCAGACTAAACCAGTTGCAAAATCTGCAACATCACATCAGTCGATAAACCAAACTAATGGTAACAGTCCTGGTGCAGGTGTAAGTACTCCTATAAATAGTGCTAGATATCAGAGAGAGTTAGTGGAGAGACTATCTCAGAGAACTGCGGGTACCTCCAGATCCAATACAAGAACTAGAACTGAGCGGCCACAGCCAACAAGAACAGTGACACGAGAAAACACAAGTGTTCAGCCTCACCCAGACTTTGTATTACACCAACAGCAGAGAGAGAGAACTTCATCAGCAAGAAATGTTAGAGGGCAATTAACAAGAACTCAATCTGCTGAGCATATGAGAAGTTTGACACCACCCGAGACTGTAAGAAGTGCATATAGTCGTCAGAGATCCTTACTAACCAATCATGAAAACTCTCCCTTGTTGTCTCACCAGCCAGCAGCGGGATGTTCCTCCACTCTTCTTCAGTTGCCATCAGATGGTCTGTTTCCTCTTTATCCTTTAGGACAGCCTGATGATTCAACATTTAGATCTCCATTAGAGCTGTCCTCAACCATATCGCCATTTACACAAGAAGATATCTATTCTTACTCACCATTCCAGTCAGCTACAGAGACTGCATCATGTCAGGAAGGGTACTCCTCGTCAACTCCACCAAAAGTAAAGTCATCTCGATCCTCAGCGGAGGCTCAGTCAGGAAGTGTCCCTCCCTCCAATGTGGGGATTAAAAGGGCTGGGCCTTATCTTTTAGGTATGCTATATATTTAAAAAGAGACAGTGAGCAGTATATAATAATATTTTGAGCAATTCAAGGAGTGAATTTTTATTTTTAACAACAAAAATAGTAGTGTAAGAACTCATTTAGAATTTTAGAATTACATTTGTACTTGATATTATGAAGAAAAAAAATTATTACATGCTTGTATTATCTGAAATTTTTTAATGCACTGGACAATAAATCTGTTCTGTTTGATTTTATAGGTCCAAGATTGGGTTCCTCTCCAGTTAGAAGTATAGTACAGTGTCTGGCCAGAAAGGAAAAGACAGATGATTTCTATACTCTGAAGGTAGCAAACATTCAGGGTTTTTCTTTTATTAACATGTAGATGTGTACCGGTATACAGTAAATGTTACATGTTTTGCAAAGATTTTAATATCTGACTCACTACTCCAAGTTCTTTCTCTTTTATAATTTTTTGTTAATCAATTGTCCATTTATGATCTTTTGTTTAGCAATTATCCAGTGTTTTTATCAGCACAGAAATTGAAGTGAGAAAATGAGTAGTGTAAATTTTTCTTGTATTTTGTAGATTCTGACATTAGAGAAATCAGGAAGAGAAACCCAGGATGGAAAACAGGGCAAGATGTTACTGCACACTGAGTACTCACTGCTAAGTCTGCTAAAGGATCAGGAGGGAGTGGTTCATCATCACGGACTGTTCAAGGTAAGACCAAGGAGTGGATCTAGGATTTTATATGGAGACTAAACAACAGCTGGTGGAGTACGCAACCCTCATTTCTAGTAATCACTTAAGTGGTAAGAAAATAAAGTTCATCACAGTAGACAGTGCTGGTGAAGACAGGTCAAGAGAGAGTATAAGACTCAGACAAAGATTTCCTTTTTCAAAAAAACAAAACAAAAAAAAAAACAACTTGAAAAGAACAATTTTGTTACACATTGAAATTATATTGAATTTTCTTCTCAAGCAGGGCAAAAGTAGTTCAGGTGAGTGTTGTTGCTAATGGGCCTCTTGCTTATCTTAGTGTAATGGTACTTTCTTCTTTTCAAACAGGATGAAGCATGGGAAGAGCGAGACACGTTAGATCAGTGGGGTCATGTGGAATTCACCGGTCAGAAAATCACCCGTCTTTGTCTGGTCCTGGACTGTTTAACTCCTCATGATTTCAGCAATAAGAACGTAGATCTTATCAACTTACAGCATTATGTCATCAAGGAGAAAAAACTGTCCGAGAAGGAGGCCATTGTTATCTTTTATGATATTGTTCGCATTGTGGAAAGTCTTCATAAGGTATGATACATCCTGAGAAAACTGAGAACCATGCTGTTGTGTATAAATGTATGATTAGTTTTAAATGTGTATGAAATAAGTCTAGTCACATGTGGGTAAAAATATTATATTGGTTCATTTACCAAATGAAGTGGATTAGTATCACATTTTAATTGAAAATTGATGAAATTTCCTTAAAGAAAAGAGCATTTAAAAAGAATAAACATTCTTTGGGGAAAATTTGTGATAGAATTGTCTTTTTGTTTTACAGAAAAATATTGTTCACAGAGACTTGAAGCTTGGTAATATGATGTTAAACAAGAGGTCAAGAAGAATTACAATCACAAACTTCTGTCTGGGGAAACATTTAGTGTCAGAGAAAGACTACCTTAAAGACCAGAGGGGAAGCCCTGCCTACATCAGTCCAGATGTTCTCAGTGGTAATTCTCTTAGTCAGTACTTAGTGGTCCTTTTCTTACCTTGGTACCTGAATGGTGTAAGATGTCCTCTTAGTAGTCTAACCTACTGAGATGAAAAAATGCAATAAGAACATGTGCTGTATGTGATGCTAGTTCTCCAACATTGAACTAAGTTCACATGAATATTATCAGATTGATGCTTTTGATTGGCTGTTTTATTGATTTGAATTATCAACTTGATGATTCTGATTGGCTATTTGTTGAGTTGGTATGTATTGATTAGCTTTTATTAGCTCTTCTGAGCCAAAGGCTCAAAGAGCTAATGCTATGGCCATTTGTGCGGTGTGCGTAAACTTTTTAGAATATGGGCCATAACTCAAGAACCCCTTGGCCAATTATTGTCAAATTTGTCACAGGGTATCCTTGGCCCAAGGGCTCCCTTTTATACTAAAACTGGGGTTGTGACCCTTTAACAAGGGGAGATAATTAGGAAAATAGAAACAAAAGTACTGGTTGCTAAAAAATCTTCTTCTCAAGAACCACTGGGCAGATTATCACCAAACTTACAGAAAAGGATGAAGATATGTTGTAGATTAAAATTTGCACGGGGATTTACCCTGGGGCAAAGGGCATGGTCTCAAGGTCACTTCAAAGTTGACCAAAAATTACATTTTATTAAAATGTTGATATTTTGCTGACTATAAGGACTAGGATCATCAAATCTTGTCAGTTGGTGCATCTAAGGGCCTATATCATGTTGACTCAAAAGTAGGTCACGGTGACCTACTTTTTAAATTTTGCGGCCATTCTTTTTCAAAATGATTTAGAGGCATATTTTGAACAATTTAAGGCCTATGATCATCAAACTTTGTCAGTTGATGCATCTTGGGTCCTCAAAGTACGTCAACTAAAAAGTAGGTCACCTTGACCTACTTTTTGAATTTTATGGCTAATCTTTTTTAAAACAATTAAGGTCATTAATTCGAATACGGGGAGGCTTAGAATCATTAAATCTTGTAAGATGATGCATCTTGGGGCCATAAAACATATTTATTAAAAAGTAGGTCACAGTGACCTACTTTTTGAACTTTGCAGACATTCGATTTCAAAGCGTTTTAGAGGCATAATTTGGACATTTTAAGTCCTATGATCATAAAACTTTGTAAGTTGATGCATCTTGGGTCCTCAAAAAAGGTCAACTGAAAAGTAGGTCACCGTGACCTACTTTTCAATTTATATGACTATAATTTAATATTTCAGGTACTAATTGGCTTAGAATCATCAAACTTTGTCAGTTGATGCATCTTGAGTGTTCGGAGTAGGTCGACTAAAAAGTAGGTCACAGTGACCTACTTTTGAAAATTTATGGCGTTAATTAAATATTTCGGGTACTAATTGGCTTAGAATCATCAAACTTTGTCAGTTGATGTGTCATGGGACTTCGGAGTAGGTCGACTAAAAAGTAGGTCACTGTGACCTACTTTCGGAAAATGTATGGCGTTAATAAAATATTTCGGGTACTAATTGGCTTAGAATCATAAAACTTTGTCAGTTTATGCATCATGGGTCCTCGGAGTACAACAACTGAAAAGTAGGTCACGGTGACCTACTTTTGAAAATTTATGAATATTTCGGGTACTAATTGGCTTAGAATCATTAAACTTTGTCAGTTGATGCGTCTTGGGTCCTCGGAGTACAACAACTGAAAAGTAGGTCAAGGTGACCTATTTTTGAAATTTTATGGCTGTATTTAATATTTTTCAGGAATTATTTGGCTTAAAATCGTCAAAATTTGTCAGTTGATGCATCTTTGGTCCTCGGAGTAGGTTGACTGAAAAGTAGGTCACCGTGACCTACTTTTGAAAATTTATGGCGTTAATTAAATATTTCGGGTACTAATTGGCTTAGAATCATCAAACTTTGTCAGTTGATGCATCTTGGGTCTTCAGAGTAGGTCGACTAAAAAGTAGGTCACAGTGACCTACTTTTGAAAATTTATGGCTTTAATTAAATATTTCGGGTACTAATTGGCTTAGAATCATCAAACTTTGTTAGTTGATGCATCATGGGTCTTCAGAGTAGGTCGACTAAAAAGTAGGTCACTGTGACCTACTTTCGGAAAATTTATGGCTTTAATAAAATATTTCGGGTACTAATTGGCTTAGAATCATTAAACTTTGTCAGTTGATGCGTCTTGGGTCCTCGAAGTACAACAACTGGAAAGTAGGTCACGGTGACCTACTTTTGAAATTTTATTACTGTATTTAATATTTTCAGGAATTATTTGGCTTATATTCGTCAAAATTTGTCAGTTGATGCATCTTTGGTCCTCGGAGTAGGTTGACTGAAAAGTAGGTCACCGTGACCTACTTTTGAAAATTTATGGCTGTAATTAAATATTTTTGGTACTTATTGGCTAGAATCATCAAACTTTGTCAGTCGATGTATCTTTGGTCCTCGGAGTACAGCAACTGAAAAGTAGGTCATGGTGACCTACTTTTGAAAATTTATGGCTTTAATTAAATATTACAGGTACTAATTGGCTTAGAATCATCAAACTTTGTCAGTTGATGCATCTTGGGTCCTTGGAGTAAGTCACTTTGACCTACTTATAAAATTTTATGGTTATAATTTTAAAAAATATTTTAGGTATTAATTGGCTTAGAATCATGAAACTTAGTTGATGGGTCCTCAGAGAATGACAAGTGATAAGTAGGTCACCATGACCAACTCTCAGGTACTAATTGGCTTAGAATCATCTTGGGTTCTCAGAGTGTGAATTGGAATTTCAAGGGTTTATCTAAATATACAGGATATTTCGAGGCTTCAAATAGAAGTGATAGGTTGTACAGTTTATCAGAAGAGCGATTCAAGGCCCATGGGCCTCTTGTTGATTTGTTTTTCTAGCTAAGCCATACCTTGGTAAGCCCAGTGACATGTGGGCATTAGGAGTGGTACTGTTTACAATGCTGTATGGACAGTTCCCTTTCTATGACGTGGTGCCACAAAAATTATTCTCCAAAATTAAAGCTGCAGAGTACAGCATTCCACAGTAAGTCAAACAGAAAGCAGTGCGAGATGTATCAAATAGCAATTTATATCAAAGTCCTCTAGATGATAAAAAAGCAGAGAGGTTTGAATTTGTGTATGAACATCTTACTGTGACATGTTTTTGTGGGGTCTAATTTTTCGTGGTTTGATGGAAAAAGGTCTGTACATGGGGACTTTATTTCCTGGTTTAAGAAGTGTTGAAATGTCATACATTTGAAATTTTACATCTCATGTTGGACATGAACTTGTGGATCTCTTCATACCACAAAACAACAAAAATTATACCCCCACGAAAATTAATGATTTAATAGTAAGCAATGAAATGCTAAATCTATGATGACACCATGACAATTTCAGTTTATGAACACTGTAATGCACATTTACCAGAGTTGACAAAGGAATTTGACAATATAGAGAGCATTGCTATAGTCTGTTTCTTTACAAATACAATGACTTTTAAACTATGCCGAAAGTTTTATACACTACAAATTAAGGAAAAAATGAAAGACATTACACTAAAAGTATGACTACTACTAACTGAAGAAGTATGAATATGTATTCCGGAAAGACTTTGGGTAGTTATAAACCACTGATATTTATCCAAAGCTACCTTTGAAAAAATGTGATAGATCTGTGTTAACAAAATTAAGGATCAGCGCACATCTATTGTATATTGAAACAGGTAGATACTGCAAATTCCCGATTCCTAGGGAAAAGCGTTTATGCTATTCATACTATTATGCTCTTCATGTAATGTAAATTGTTTATTAAAGAAGAAAAACATTTTGTTCTATACTGTTCAAAGTATGACCAATGTAGACACAAGTATACTGATATATTTTGTACTCTACAAATTTCAGGGATGAGCGAGTTTCCACAGACACCATCAGTATCATCAGGAAGTTACTGGTGCTGAATCCAGAGAGTCGATATACAGCCTCCCAAGTTCTGGTGGCTTTGACAGGGATAATAGATAAATGGTAAGAGACCTGTAAAATACTGTACAAAGGTTATATCGAGAGGGGGAGGGGAGTTTGACATTTTTTTTTCATTTTAGAAATTTGACAATTAGAAACTGATGTTCTGCTTGTATCTTGTACTTTAACAAGAATGAGAAAGTTAATAAGTGGAAACTTTGATAATTAATATGGTAGTCATTTTATCAATTTTGTCAGTTTCCACATTAATAACGTTTCTACATTTACACAGGGCTCGAAATAATTGATGGCCCGCTGGTCTAGGGCCAGTGAATTTTCAATCTGGGCTAGTACATTGTAGAAGGCATGTGCCCTTTGGGTCAGCATTTTTTTGTGCATAATAAAATTCATTCACAGTCGGGCTAGTTAACTTGACAGGGTTGTGTGTCCCAACTTCTACTGTTTCTTGTTTTGTTAAGCTGCACTTCTAAGTATCACAATATAAAAAAATGTTACTATTATTATTATGGTTTTGGGCCAGTCTTTTTAAAATCCACTGGACCAGTGGGACAGTGAAAGTACTAAGCTGACCAGTAAAAATTTAAGGTGATAACCCGAGTGACCAGTAAACAAAAATAATTATTTCTAGCCCTGTTACAGTACTGTAAATATGATCAGAGCTCATATTGAAACCATGGCATTTGAGAAAAGGTTGGGGTCCTGAAAGGGATCCAAAGTTTTACACAGAAATATATGGGGAAATATTTGAATTCTTTTTATCAAGAACTACAAGATTACTATTGTTGAATTTATATGCAAGCATCCTTTTGTAGTGAAGACTGTTCAAACCATGTCCTCATAGGAAGGGTTAGGACCATTGAAAGGAAATGTTTTAAAGAAAAATATTTTATAGAAGAATCTTCAAATACTACCCCCCCCCCCCCCCCCAGTTACATCTCCGATTTAGGAACTAAATGTACAGGGATATGCATTAAATTTGTAAACAAGTTTCCAGACCATGATCAGGGGATAGGAATGAGGCTAAGAAGGAGGTCCAAACCTTTATATGAACATATCTTGGTAAAGTCTTTAAGAATCTGTGTAAAAAGGAACAAGGCTTCTTATTTTCAAATTAGTACAGGGTATACAGACATGTTTTGTATGTAGTGTAGATAATTTTCTTAAATCATAGCTAATAGGGCTAGAGTGTGGTCTCAGTCGGGGAGTCAAAGTTTATATGGGAAAGTATTTGGGAAAAAAATTGAAACTCTTAAAAACAGCAGGACCACAAATGGCCAAATTTGCTAGCATCCCTATATCATGTAGATGTCCAAAAATAATGCTGCATCCTATTAAAATATTTAACGAAAAATTGTAGAAATTCAGTTTGAATGCATGTACCATTACTGGTATGTGTTATGAGTAGTAGTCTGTAAGAAAGAAAATTCAGAAACTGTGAGGATTGTTTAAGCTCTCAATTTTGAATTCTTAAAGGAAAGCGATGTCTTCAGAGTCAGGTCCACTGCAAGTAGTGCCAGAAATAGACATTGTCGAGGACAACCCAAAAGTTGATACAAAATGTGGTGACCAGTCTTCCACGCAAAAGACAGACACCGATTCCCTCCACAATAAAGCAGATGACACAGTGTCCAATCTGGGGTCTGTATCGTCAGATAGCCAAGAAATCAGCAAGCAATCCAAAGCGGTGCGCCATGGCAGGCGCCGCTCCTCTGTACAACCACCGGTCCAGAGAATGAATTACGATGCAGTCCCTCTAACAATGGCCGAGGTTGAAGCTCATCAGCAGATATTTAGTCAACAGAGGACCTAAATCTTCAGGAAGTTTAGAGATGCAGATACAGGTCAATTCTCATCCTTATTTAATAACTGAAATAGTCCAAAAATTGAATGTTTGCTTTACATTTAAGTATTATGACCAGTACCATTTAACCAGAAATTTTAGTGAGGAGTCAATTTTGGCATTTTTAGAGATGGTGTTGAGATCGCTAAAATTAAATATTGCTATTAATTTACTCTGCATTAAAGGTTACTAGGCATAAATTAGCTAAAAAATGTGCTTGCTATTACTGATTTTTTTTAGGACAAATGGCTTAATTTGCGTCTCCCTAAAAATTCCACTTATATGGTACTTTCTTGCTTAAATCATTCATTTTCTAAATGTTAAGTCTAATGCTGTGTTCAGTTAAATTTAAAAAATTTCACAGAAAAAAAAGATTTTATAATTCAGGATTCTTAAATTTTATATGATTTGAAGCTACATGTATGTAAAGGATAATATATGTGTTAAGACTGAATTTCAAGATGACTGCATGCATATATATTGAACAGATTTTTTTTTGTAATTTGTATTTCTTTTACTTTATGATGATATTTGTAGTAGATTTTTAATCTGTCTATATTGTGTTTTTTTGGCTGCATTTCATTTCTGGAATTTTTTGAAATTTTCAATTTTTCATTTCCGACATTTTCAAGTTTTCATTTCCGACATTTTCAGGTTTTCATCTCCGACATTTTTCAGGTAGTACTTTTTGGCAATGAAAGCAAGATTGAAGACTTCAATTATAAAGATTTTAAAGAATAAATCATAAATAAATCTTTGAAATCAAAATAAAGAGTTTTGCCTAGCTATCAATGAAGCGAAAATAAAAGATTTTTTTCTTTCCCTGAGGCACTTGTAAGTGTTGTGAACTTTCCCTCATCTCCTTTTCAAATGTTCAGTTTAAGTTTGAAATCAGATATGGTAGGATGGAAATTATAAGGCATATTTTTAAAATATGGTTGAAATAAAGTCTTTTAAAATTCCATTTCCACCTACTTGGTTAACATTAAATTGCCAGAGCGGTACCCTGCAAAAATTCCAGAAATGAAAAAAAATAAATGTCAGAAATGAAAATAAAAATTGTCGGAAATGAAATTAAAAAATGTCAAAAATTCTATGCAAAATTCCGCAAATGAAATGCAACGGTTTTTTTTTTTTTTTTTGGTTTTTTTTTTTAATGAAAGGGGTATTTCAGAAGTTTATGTACATTTACAGTGTATACCTGAGGAAATGTGGTATGCATTTAGAAGTTTAAATTTTTAAGAGTTTTGAAGATATACCTTTCATAAGAAAATTTTTAGTGACACAGACAGACAGATTAATGTTTGGGCTATCTGTATATTTTTACTTTCAAGGGCTTATTAAGAGCTGTATAGTGTAATAAAGAAAGTTGGTAAAAGAGTGCTAAAAATTAGTGCATATTTATTAATCACCAGTGAATTTTTGTTTAGATACATTTAGTAGTACATGTACATAGAATTTTAGATTTTAATCATGTTAAATCTCAGATATTTACATATAATTATTAAGAAAGGGCCAAATCCATCAAATTGACTGCAGTGTTCAAGTGTTATGTAGCATTGTTATATTAGCCATGAAGTCTCAAAAATTGAGATCTTAACATAGGGCAAAGTGTTTATTGTTGTTATTCATGTGAAACAGTTTATAATGTTTATATATGTGTGTGTATACAAAGAATTTACAAAGGTTGATAAAATACAGAGGTTGTAAAGATATCATTAATTTATTACCTGTTTTGTTTTATTTATTATATTGCATTTGTGCCAAATGTAAACACACATACAAGCATATACAATAGCACCAAATAGTTTATAAAAAACCAAATTTCCATTTGTGTTATTGATGATAAGTGAGATATATGTATCTGTTTCCTTGTCCGATCTCTGTGTAATTTTTACTTTCAATTCTTATTCTTTTTTTTTTTTCTATTTCCATGACATCATAGTCCAAAGACCTCTACATCTCTCACTGTTTACAATCACTTAATTTTTTTTTATTTCTAGAAATATGGAGTTCTTAATTTCTGTGTATTCAATAGAGATTTTTTTTTTTTGAACTGAACAAAAATTTTTGAATATTTAAGGATATCTCTTGTTTTTTAAAAGCTAACTAGTGCTTCAGTAAGTGAACCCTGCTGTACTCTAAATTAAATTTTTAAAATTATCTATGTAGCATGTTGGACAAATAAGATGCATGTGTTATGTAAATTAGTTAATCAGAATACACTGTAGATTTCCAGTTATTATAACTTATTAATTATGAAACACATTTGCATGGTATCCTTTTTTTAAGTTGGAGAATACAGTTTATGATCAAAGTGATCTGTTGATCATAGAAATACATGTACTGCTCTTGTTACATTTTGATTTGTACATGTATTTATGTAATCACTGTATTATTACAATTACTTAATTATTTTGGTCCATGCAAGTCAATAAATTTTGTTTTTATGTCCATTGTTTTCCTTTTTTCAGTTTGTATTTTATATGAACCATATACATCCTTAAAACACAATGAGAACTTGGAAAAATAGCAATTGTTTGCTTGAAAAATGTGTTCAGTAACACAGATACTCAATATTATATATTTATTAAGGGTTTTTTTTTGGGGGGGGGAGGATTTACAAAACTGATTTCTTTGATTTTTTTTTTTTTTGGCCAAAGGCTTATGTGAGCTTTATGAGAAACATTTATCCAGCAAAAGTTTGTATGTATGAGTACAGAATGTGTATGATACGTGTTTGTACAGATGTGTATTGCATTAAATTCTCAATTTTGACTTCAGATCCACCAGGTTAATTTATACCAAACTTGTCAAAGAGAACCCTTTAGAAACAGAAATTCAGTTTTGTTCAAATGTAAATTTAAACAACATGCAATCAATCAATCAAAATGGAGATAATAAATAGTGAAAAAGGGGTGGGTTTTATAAGAATCTTCTCAAGAACCACTGGAGAAGATATAAGAAGCTAACTGTGTAGTCTTAGATTTATCATTCATTGTGTCATTTTACATAAGAATATATGGGAAAAAGTCTAGAATGAAAGGACCACAATTGAAATTACATGCAAGCATCCACTTAAAAAGATTTTGAAATAACATGTGTATAACCATTCAAAATATATAGATGTTTTGGGAGGAAAAAATCTCCAAATTTCCTTTACTAGATTTAAAATAACTTTAATGATTTAAAGATTTTTCCATTTTTTAACTGTTTCTTGTACATTCTTAAAACTGTGATCTCCTGATATAATCCAGGGTCCTTTGAACAAAACTAATGAACTTAAATTGTAACATTTGTAGATATTCAATTATATCTAATACTTTACATTTAAAAATTCATACAGATTGGAGAACACAGTGTTAAATAAAGCTGTTTACGATATATTTGTACTTCCTTACTTATTTTATGAATGGGATTAAATATTTCTGTGTTTGAATGGAAACAGTACACTGTTTAATGCATGGTCATCAACCATGGCAAAATGGTCTAATTGGGCAGAAAGAAAATATGTACTATTAAGAGGGGCAAGAGATTAAGGGTTAGACTAGAACCTCTGTTCCTTTGTTTATATAAAGCGAGAAGACTCTTTGGATGCTCAGCCATGCAAGTTCTAGAAAGGTTTTGAGCATGAACAAAAGCTTGCTCTCTGACAATTGTTTCTTTGTCCAAGATTACTAATGAGTAAATTTTAACCTCAATGTGCTCAAAAATGTATGTGCCCTAATTTACAGAGATTCTCTGTCCCTCTCTCTCTCAAAATTTATATATTCATTATGATGTCCCTCATCTTTCAGTTGCATATATATATATATATTTTACCTAGTTTTGTTTATTTTGCTTTTTGTAACAGTCTCGTTTTTATTGTGGGAAGTATCATAACCATAAGCACTTGTTTCGGTAATAATTTTTTTAACCCATAGTATAATAATAACATAATAATTTCTTGTGTTATTGCAATACTATGGGTTAAAAAAATTATTACCGAAAAAGTGCCTAATAACCCCTCTCTACAATACTTCAGAATGTATGCTGTACTTTCTCACGATACTTTAATTCATTATCTACATAGTTTGTAAAGTTTTAATTCGTTGTTTTGAAGTTTTCAAGATTCGGATGCCACGCCCCCTTGCAATGACCACACGTGGTTGGCTGTGACGTCACGATGTCAGTTTCGCCAAACTCGTACACAAGTGCACATGTTTGTGATATAGAGCAGTGAAGTGATAACGAAATGGATTAATTAAAGAATAACAAATGTGTGACAAGTCAAGAAAATGATCTTCAAGCCCCCTTAATATTATTTGGAGTTCAATATGAGTGGATATTTCATTTTTCCGTGGAATATAAATTTACCTGTGAAAACAATTGATTTTGTTGACAAAGTGTCTTGTACGGGGCCCCTTTCCGCAGTGGACGGGTAAACATGACCCCGTTACATTGGAATTTTTACTCAGTATTTTTCATTCTGTGTATACAACTCCTGAAAAACGCTTTATGTAACTCAGGTAAGAAGATGCACACCTGATAGCCACTTCAATAAAAGAGAGAGAGAAAAAATGTATATTTGTATAGTTTTGGTGCAAGAGTCCATAGTTTTCTATTTTTCCATAGATAATCATGAATGGATAGTACAATATTACATTGAAATAAGTAAAAAATTAAATATTACGATAAAATAAAAAGTACGTTACTTGATCACATACAGGTGCTTGCAAACTTTTTTTTACAACACCGGTCCTAAGAATGTGCTCAAACAGTCACAGTCTCTTTAAAAGTTGACACCTTTTTTATGGACACAGTCTTGTGACCAGGCGAATAGCCGGAGAACGCGGCCAGCGCAGGAACCGTGGCACCTGGCCATAAATGTCATGCTGGCCAGAAAATTTACTGTCCAATTAATTTTCCGTATTTAATAAATTACCACTTAATTATTATAACCCCAGTTTAAATTATGACGTGAAATTTGTTCCCTCATGATATTTATCGGACAAATGTTATCCAAATTTTATATTGTATGATTAATTCCCTTAAAATGTGACGGAAATTTACCCATTTATATTTGACCATTGTAATTGACATCTCCAGGTGTTTTATATTACGTAGTTTTTCTTCTTAATTCACCTGAATATGAGATTTGGACCTGGTACTGAGTATCCATTTACTGTATGGCCTCTAATTTGTTTTAATCAAAAACCGGCTTTGAGTTCTTCTTCATCAAAAAGAAAGTTAGGTGTAAGAAATCTGAGAGTCATATTTTCATACAAACGGTATGTCATGACCCAAGCAAGGTTTATGCTTAAGATGTGATGATTGTACTGGAATTTATTACTTTCAAATGTTAATTTCTGCACTTAAATTTTCCTTGAAGCACAAATTGTTCTGAGCAGTCATCTGAAGAATAAATTATCATAATTAAAACTCTTTGAGTCAGTTTACAGTTTAATATACAAAATAACAGGTAAATGGTTTGCTGAGGATTGAATATTCTAATCTCTATTTGTTTCTCTCTTTCTCTCTCTCTCTCTCTCTCTCTCTCTCTCTCTCTTGAGAAAGAGAGACCATTAAGATTCCAACTATTGATTTTCTTTTGAAAAGGATGTAAGGCTCTTTCAACTTTTCACCAGCCATTCTTCCCTGCTTAAATGATGTTCTAAATCCGATTATTATCACCCTCCTTCTACAGTCCTCCACTTGTTTTTCTAGTTCACTGGTACCCAGAAGCCTGTTCATTCACCAGTAAAAGATATTTAGATGTTATCAGCTGAATTTCAATAGGTGGGGGACATTTCTGGCCTTGTTTTTCTTATGGACACTTTCATCAAATACTGAAGGGGGGGCTGTTTTAAAGTAAGGGTTTGGTAGAAGCAGAAATTGGCAAAAGTTCTATATTCCTACATTAATAAATTCTTAATTTGGGAATAAACCTATTTCATTCAAAATAAACCTGTTTCATTCAAATGCATTTTTGCCTCATTTTAGAAGAGAATTTTTGTCCGTGTTTCTTCAGGATGATATTTGATCAGATAAATGTCTATAAAGCTTACCAAATGTTGCAATGCATTTTTTTTTTTTGGAGACTTTTCTTAAGGCACTCTGAAATGAATTCATTTCAAGTTTTAACAGGTGAATTAAGTTTATGCAGGAAAGATAAAACTCTTGTACTCTTTGATGTGTATTGATGCAGATTTGATATGTTTTAAACATATACAAGACCCATGGCCCAGAAATGATTTAAAATGCAAAGTGTGATGTTCAGTGAATTAATACCTACAAATTATTATAGTGTTATATATTTAATGAAATTTATAATTGAATTTTTATTCTTTCATGAAAAAATATTTCCATAACATTTTTTTCCTTCATATATCAAATTCTTTTTTTCTCAAATCAAATATATATTAATACCTTATTTCAGAACTATGTCTTGTTCTGCATGAGAAAGTTTGATTTTTGTAATGGATTAGAAACTTGTATAACCAAAGTCAATAATGTCCCAGAAGGATTTAAGGATACATGTTAAACACAGGTGCCTAAAATTCATGAATGAAAACAGCTGACTGTCACTGCAAGGCATTTTAATACCTTGCTGCAGAGAATTACCCAAGAATTTGAAATTATGCTTAAATTGAATGTAAATTGTGCCCAAATCCATTACACATTTGGAGAGAGGCCAGGTACTTTCCAGTTGAGCAATAATATTGACAAAATTGAGTATCGATGAGCAGGGTGTACATATTTCTAACTTATCTATAAAGTAAACATATATATTCAAATTGTCAAGCCCAACCAATTTAGAGCTCTAACCTTATGGTGTTCAGGGATGGATAAACTTTTTTTTGTCCTCCCCTCTCTTCCAAAGGAAGCAGAGAGATGCTGCAAATGAATCACATAATTATTTTCTTTTGCCTTGAAATTTAGGCCTTTGGTCTACCTAATCAGTAGTTTCTTTATTCCCCAGCCCCCTACTGATTCACCCTCTGAGGGCAATTACAGTAAATAATCATTTATAGATTATTATTAAATACTACAAAGTACATTTTATCTAAATGATTTGATCAGCCACTACCCAGGGAGGGGAATGTTAAAGAAAGACATCAATCTACTCATTCTGGTAATTCTTGATCATTTTCACAGTCAACTGGCCAAGATCACCGAGTTGTACCTTGAAATTTTTTTATGTGATGTAATATGCATACTCCATACACTTAGCTTGAGGATTCACTGGATAAAGGAAGATATCTGTAGGTTACTTAGTCAATTCACACTGGATAAAGGAAGATATCTGTATGTCATTCAGTCAATTCACACTGGATAAAGGAGGATATCTGTAGGTCACTCAGTCAATTCACACTGGATAAAGGAAGATGTCTGTAGGTCACTCAGTCAATTCACACTAGATAACGGAAGATATCTGTAGGTCACTCAGTCAATTTACACTGGATAAAGAAAGA